TTAAAAATTTAGCCAGGTGTAAGGGTGTGCACCTGTAGTCCTAGCTACTGAGGAGGCTAAAGTGGGAGGATTGCTTAAGCCCAGGAGTTCAAGGCTGCAGCGATCTATGATCATGCCACTGCACTCTAACCTGGGCGACAGGGCAAGACTCTGTCTGGAAAAAAAAAAAAAAAAAAAAAAAAAAAAAAAAAAAAATTTAATAATAATGTATGAACTGGCCAAATGCACTGTGGTCAGATGGGGACCAGTGACTTAATAGTATCTCAAAATACGTGAGGTTTTCTTTATACAAATTGAAACTTTTTTCCCCCAAATAAGACTATAAAATTGATTTAGGATCAGGTCAGCGTCACATTTGTTATTAAGATTAAAATATATGTACAGTGCTTCTAGATTAGTGAGCTAATTTACTGTGGTCTAGGCACTTTTCTAGATGCTAGATATTTACAGATTTTACTGAAGTGAACTGAGGCACCAAGTTATGCTTTCTTATTTTAGAGAATTGTCTCCCATATCTCAGGCCCTGCATGGAAAAACCTACTGAGTGACCCCACCGTCTTGATCACAGCTGGATTGAAACCTGGTCCAAGATTTGCCAATGTAGGCTCACCAGCAGTCTGTAAGAGGGTTCTGGAATGAGCGCTGCGACTAGCCAGTAGGAAGAAAAGCAACAACTAACAACCTTATCACCTTCTGTTTAGGGAATTTATATGAAAAGTCCAAAAAGAGCAAAAAGTACTAAAGAAGTGAGTATGCAGCTGCCATCACCTAAGAGAAGCAATGAGAATGCAGAAATTGTGAACAAGAAGGGGCCCGTGAGGTCAACAAAGCAATTAATCAACAGCAGGAATTGTGTTAAAAGCTTAGTGTGACAGACACTTCTTATGGAACAACCAAATGATCTGTCATCATTGTACCTGAATAAAATGTCCAGTCTTAGAACAACTCCCTGAAGCTTGGCTCTGAAATGTTCTTGTTCTTCATGAGACCAGGATGGAGAGCTATTATTGTGTATCCTCTCTGAATAACCACTCTGTTCTCAGCATCTAGAACAGTGCCTGGGATAGTACAAAGGCATTTAATAAGTGAATATCATATCAGCCTAAATGACCTCAATTACACACATAAATCGGAGACTCAAAAATCAGACAAAATGCATGTTTGAAGGGGCATCTGTAATTACTCAGACTGGTGAATATTCGGAAATCACATAAATGACTCATAACAAGGCTGGCAAGGGTTTCAGATCAATCAGAAGGAGCAAAGGATAAAAGACTGTTTAAGAGTTAAGTTTTGTGCGGCTACAGAAGTTCAGAGGAGTGAAAGGTCAATGAAGACTGAAGTGTTCATAAGAAGAGACTTCAGCTATGGCTGGAAGTATCACTCGAAGATGTGAATGAAGGCAAGAGGTAGGGCTATTCGTATATCTGTGGGACACAGGAGTCATGCCTCATTAGGTGGGACATTATGATCAGAAGATGCTGAGAAATTGGTTGGCGTTAAGTAGGGAGTGTGAGATTACATAGGACAAAAAATGTTTACCAAGATTGTTCATTTTAGGGGATCAATCATGCTTATAAAAAGAAATGAAGAAGAAAGGAGAATGACAGAATCTTTCAATGAAACAGTGGTAGGAAAGGATGACTTGTTAGGCAGGACCAGGCGGGGTAGAGGGTGAGGCGAGGGAAGGTAGCTAGCTGGGGAACCTGCTATCATCCAGGCCTGAGCTAGCAAAGCCCTGGAAAGCATGGCATCAAGGGAGTAGAGAAGAGCAAAGGCAATTCAAAGGAAAAAAATCAATAGAATTTGATGTCAAATAGCAGATGAGAAACTTCAAAGATAAGCCAAAATTTGTAAAATGTTGAAGAGTCCTACTCTGAATGCTTAAGATAAAGAAAATAGGCCAGTACAGTGGCTCACGCCTGTAATCCCAACACAGGGAAGCCAAGGTGGGTGGATTGCTTGAGCCCAGGAGTTCAAGACCAGCCTGGGCAACACAGGGAGATCCTGTCTCTAAAAAAAACAGAACAAAATTATTCAAGCTCAGTAGCACGGGCCACTATGTTCCAGCTACTTGGGAGGCTGCAGTAGGATCATCTGAGCCCAGCAGTTCCAGGTTGCAATGAGCTATGGTTGTACAACT